TCTGCCAAGGCAGTAAGAGAACTGAAGGAGCTTGCAGATGCTATGGAGGTCAATGTGGGAAAACCTACAAAGGCTGATGGGACCAGATGGGTACCACACTTTTTACGAGCAATTGAAGTGTTAGTTGGGAAAAACTACAAGGTGATAGTTGCACACTTTGCTCATACAGCAGAAGCAAATGATTCATCTGCTGAGATGCAAGGAAGAGCGAAAAATGTCTACAAAAAACTGACTAGCTACAGATTTTTACAGTACTTGCATTTGTTGTGGGATATTGCTTTTGAAATATCCAAAGTCTCCCTTGTCTTCCAGAGAAATGAAGTTGCAGTATCAGATGTGAAACATGAACTAGACAGGGTTGACCTTGCCCTGCATAACATGGCCAGACGTGGAGGTAGGCATTTGCAGTCATTCCAAGAAAAAGTTGGTGATGGAGAAGTATTTCAGGATGTGAATCTCAAGAGAGCAGAGAATGATACAGAAACATTTGCTAGAAACAGGGAAAATATTCTCAGTGATTCAAGGAGATTTGTGCAGCAAAGGTTTGAGAGTTTCTGCTCTCCTGTTCTGAAAGCAGCAGCTGTGATTACAGATCACAATTCATGGCCAAGAACAAGGGATCAGCTAGGAATGTATGGTGAGGAGGATGTTGTGGTCCTGGCCAATCACTACAGAGATGTGCTGAACAGAAATGACTTTGATATTGATGAGGCAAAAGACGAATGGCTATCCTTGAAACTACATGCCTTGAATACCAGGGCCATGGAAACCCTGACAAAGCAAGTCTTCTGGAACCAAATATACAAAGTAAACCATGCACAGTTCTCACATGTGCTTATGCTCGTGGAGATAAGCTTTACCATGGCTGTTTCAACCTCTTGTTGTGAAAGGGGTTTTTCTTGTATGTCAAGACTTAAGACTGAATACAGAAATTCCCTTGACGTGTCCACAGTCGACCACTTAATGAACATTTGTCTGAATGGTCCCAGTCCAGAAGAATTTGTTGCTGAGAAAGCCATTATTCACTGGGTGCAAGAATCACAGAGGGCTCGCCGACCTAACTTCTTGGATTAAAGTTTAAGGGACAGTGACAGATGAAAACACCTCACAATGTTGATTTTCTAGTTATCCTTTATTTCAAAACTATTTATATTACTGTGGATAGATAAGATATCATGGTACTGACAATTTCAGGTCCATCATTTTCCTTGGAAGATAGATGTAACTGCGTATTCTTCTGAGTGAATGATTCAAAACAATATATGGGACTAGTTAGATTCCTTCCAGGACTACTGAAAATTTCCTACTACTTGTCCGGGGAAAACCATTTCAAAAAGTTAGTTTCGAGCACTGCATTGTAGAGACTTAATCATTAAAAATTATGAATTTGTGTTGTAACACTAATTTATCTGTTGACTGATGCATCAAATCATAATTTAAAAAGAGCTGGTAACTTTTGGATGTTAGTTTGTGTTTCAAAATGGTGGAAATGCATCTCTGCAACTGTAGAATTTAAAAAATTTCAGGGGGAGCATGCCCCCGGACCCCGCCTGTGAAATCCAGATGCCCTCCTGCTCCAAATTTTAATGAAAACCCTGCCGAATGTACCATAATGTTACTTTAATTTTGTGGTGCTCTTAAACTTTGATGTTTTGATTTTGACTGAATTATATTAGGAATAACAGAAACCGTAAAATTAAGGTGACAAAAATATTGCCATTATTTACATATTCTCTTTAATGCACTCCATCATAAAGGAAAGCCGATCGAAATCTAGCTTGTTTCATCATCTAACTCAGATTTCATTCTCTCTCCTTTGATTTTGATGACTGATGTTTCTTTTTTCGCTGATGCGTTATACAGGATAATTGAATGGCAAGAACAAGATTTTGAAAACTGTGTAGTACGTACCAAGTCTACAAAAGTTATTTCAAGTCCATTATTTTACTCACAGCAAACTGGTCAAGTAAAACGAATGTTAAGAGTTGACAAGAAGAAACAACTTATTTACTAGTAGACTGTACGATAGCGTGACAAGCTTTTGTAATTCAAATGCAAAAGTGACGTTTCACTTTAAGTAATAAATTAAGCTTTAACTTGGACAAGATTTTTCTCTTATTGTCATTTAATCAAGTACAACTATGAGTGAACTGAAGATAAATTTGAATAATTGATGTCTGCTTATTTAACCCACTAGTTGAACTTAACAATGCTTCACTCGATGCGGTGATCTAGTCTTGCTCTGGAAAATATCTTAAATGATTTAACACATTGACACTTACGTGTAACACGTGCCGACGAAAAGTCAAAATTTTGGAGAAACCAAGAGGGCAAACACAATGCGCAGTAAATTTTTAAAAATCAGCTTTTCCAAAAAAAAGCTCCAGTGAAAGAGGACTAATTAAAGAACTTATTTCCGGCGAAAAAAGCGATAGGTGCATATTACGTTTTAACTCAAAAATCAAGATGAAAGATAAAAATCGCTAAATATTTTCGCATGTGTGAAAATAGGCATGTGGATCATATTTCAAAAGGGAATATGCAAATTTGTCCGTGAGTGAAGAGATCTCAAGTTTCATGGAATCTATCAATAGGAAGCAAGACTAAAATGGCCAAGAAATATTTCGGGACGTCAGATTTATTCAAAACAGTTTTTGATTTACTGTAATAAGCGAAAAACGTACGAATTTCTTACGTGTAAAAAGCCCACGCGGTAAAATTCATCATGCTTGGATCGTTGTTTACTTGCCTTCGTGGCCAGAAATTGCGCAGCGTTATGGTGAAAATTCTGAAAAAACTTCGATTTGAGGCAAAATCTTCTATTAAACTATACTTTTTGAACACATTGTTACTCAAACATAATATTTACCGGGCCATCGAATCGTCAAATTGTCGCCAGGCCCTGCTTGAAGTCCGAAAGTTCGGTTTTCACTTTACGTCCATAATTCGCATCGCCTTAGAGAATCGTAATGTCGTTGACTTGAGAGCTTATTCTGTCACTTTTAAGACCTGGATATCCATTCTTTTCCAAGTAGAGTATTCTATAGCATTGTTACTTTACATTCTGAATTCCACAAGGTCTAACTCGATCGCAAATGAACGAAAAATCCGACCTGAAAATTTTGAGGGTCGGCCGCGTGGACGCCATATTTTCAAATTTGATCATTTAGTGAAGACGCATAGAGTAATGCCCCTCTAGTACCCCCTAAAGTCGAAAAAATATATGCGCAAACAACGGATTCTGATTGGCTTATTGATCTCCAAACTATAGAGGAAGTTTGGGGACAAAACTCCACTTAGTATGGGAGGTAGGGGGGAAAGCGTTCTCGCGCGAGGCGATCGCGAAGTTCGGGCGGTTACGGGCGGTTCAGGTGTCAATGGGTTAAACACCAATTATTCTTCGAAGGAGCAGACTGAATATGATGACTAAAAGCCCTCTCACACTTTGAATGCTGCTGTGTTTTCATGAGTGACATGAAACAAAATAGCATACATAATTGTTTATACAGTTTACACATTGGAGTACATGTCGTGAGTAAATTTTGATTACACATTAACACTTGCAGGTTCAATAATAAATCTTAATGACTGTATTTGAATTTTCTTTTCAGTCATCTCCTTAATTTACATTGAAAATGCACCTTCCATCCCTTCATAATGGTAATAAAATGGAGGTGCAGTGACGGCAGGGAGCAAATAAAAGTTAAGAAGCAAGGCTCCATAAACACAGACCAAATNATGGAATCTATCAATAGGAAGCAAGACTAAAATGGCCAAGAAATATTTCGGGACGTCAGATTTATTCAAAACAGTTTTTGATTTACTGTAATAAGCGAAAAACGTACGAATTTCTTACGTGTAAAAAGCCCACGCGGTAAAATTCATCATGCTTGGATCGTTGTTTACTTGCCTTCGTGGCCAGAAATTGCGCAGCGTTATGGTGAAAATTCTGAAAAAACTTCGATTTGAGGCAAAATCTTCTATTAAACTATACTTTTTGAACACATTGTTACTCAAACATAATATTTACCGGGCCATCGAATCGTCAAATTGTCGCCAGGCCCTGCTTGAAGTCCGAAAGTTCGGTTTTCACTTTACGTCCATAATTCGCATCGCCTTAGAGAATCGTAATGTCGTTGACTTGAGAGCTTATTCTGTCACTTTTAAGACCTGGATATCCATTCTTTTCCAAGTAGAGTATTCTATAGCATTGTTACTTTACATTCTGAATTCCACAAGGTCTAACTCGATCGCAAATGAACGAAAAATCCGACCTGAAAATTTTGAGGGTCGGCCGCGTGGACGCCATATTTTCAAATTTGATCATTTAGTGAAGACGCATAGAGTAATGCCCCTCTAGTACCCCCTAAAGTCGAAAAAATATATGCGCAAACAACGGATTCTGATTGGCTTGTTGATCTCCAAACTATAGAGGAAGTTTGGGGACAAAACTCCACTTAGTATAGGAGGTAGGGCGGAAAGCGTTCTCGCGCGAGGCGATCGCGAAGTTCGGGCGGTTACGGGCGGTTCAGGTGTCAATGGGTTAAACACCAATTATTCTTCGAAGGAGCAGACTGAATATGATGACTAAAAGCCCTCTCACACTTTGAATGCTGCTGTGTTTTCATGAGTGACATGAAACAAAATAGCATACATAATTGTTTATACAGTTTACACATTGGAGTACATGTCGTGAGTAAATTTTGATTACACATTAACACTTGCAGGTTCAATAATAAATCTTAATGACTGTATTTGAATTTTCTTTTCAGTCATCTCCTTAATTTACATTGAAAATGCACCTTCCATCCCTTCATAATGGTAATAAAATGGAGGTGCAGTGACGGCAGGGAGCAAATAAAAGTTAAGAAGCAAGGCTCCATAAACACAGACCAAATTTTAGAGTGATTTCAGGTCTATTTTAAAAGCGAAGGCAAATATATTTTTCAATTCCGTTTTGAATTGAAGCTCCATCAACAGTAATACAGGTATTAACTTACTCAAATGGAAACTGCTTTGCTTTCCAGCTACGCGAAACTTCATCATGCCAATCGGTTCCAACTTTTAGCTTCCAACTCATTTGGCGAAGTCCAACCCTGACCACCAGATACAAAAGATTGAGTCCTCTGCGCATTTGGTTGAAATCAATTGTTTTACAAAAAAGCCTAGTTTCCAAACCAAACAGTTAACTTTGGATCTAAGTTTTGTCTTCACTCAGCAGCCTGATCGGAATGATCATAACATAAAAAGCAAATACTGCTGCTCTCTCAAAATTGGTGGGTCTCGTGATCAGAATACTTTGATCGCGAGCAAGCAATACGAACTAATGCACTGTTAATCAAATATTTCTTAACGCTCTAACTTACCGTTCATGAGGCCTCTTTGTTTTTTCTAGCACCTGTCCTCTGGACAAATATTCACTCCTACAAAATTTACAGAAAAGGATCTATTGTTTTAGTACTTTTTAACCCTCCTGGAACACACCATATAACTCAAATGTAACACAGGTTCAAAATTTTACACATCATGCTGATTCAGCTCAATAACAGTTTCAAGGCTGGCTTTGAATACAAAACAGAATCAGTTGATCATAAAAGGTGCCTTAAGCAACTACTATTGTTTGTATGTTTCTGTCTTGGGCTCTGTTAGATATATACTGGCTGGATTTGAATTGATTTCCTCAAACAGCTTTGGAAGAGCTGTGTTGCCTACCTAAGCTGTAAAAGTGCTACAGAACACCGGGAAAACTAGTGTAATCGAATTAAAAAGTGCCGTCATACTCGAATGTAGCAGATATTTTGGAGCAAGAAAAAAGGTAACAAGTCTGACATGCTGCTGATCTTAACTGAAACGTGATCTTGACAGAAACGTCACGCAATTGTAATGACCACCATTCGAATAGCTCAAATTACATACGAATTCAGGCTACTAACATATAGAAAATGCTGACACATGCGAGTAAAATACAAGTCAAAATTAAATATAAAGGCATCATAAGCATGAAATATAACATTTTCCTTTCTGTTTGCATTGCAAAAGGAGCCTGGGACATCGATGTCAATGGTTATACACAGCACTGGGGAAATTTTAATAAACTTTTATCTGGGATTATGAAAGAGATCTCTGATGAATAATGAACACTCCTCATGTCTTGCCTTGTTTTTTGGAGCCACGTGAAACAAATAGCTGATTTAGTTTACGCACTACTGAATCATATCTCGAGAGTGTCAATAAGCCAAAAATAACACCCTCTGTTGCAGCTAGACACACGCAAACCCTTGAGGTTCCAAAACAAAAAAAAAATTAATGTCGCTGTATTGAGCAGGTTATTGCAGTTGAATTCCCATGTTCATTTGCCCTCTGCAAGAACAAATATAGGGTGGACGGTACGGTACAAACCCTCCTACTTCCAAAAGGTATTTAGATGTCCACCTACGGTAGCTTATTCCTTCAAAGAAATTCAAAACCAAAACCGAGCACTTAAATCCGTGGATGCACTCGTTCCCAGAAATGAAGTTTCTCGTAATTTCAACGCAAAGCAGTTAAAAAACGGGTAAGATACTTTCATTGGTTAACCGAAAACGATACCGACTTTAAAGTCGTCGGTTCTTGTTTCGGATAATTTTAAAATAATTCAAAAATCAAAGATGGCGCTGACTTGCATTTGAAGAAGTGGTAAACTTTATTTTTCAGCTCGGATTGAAGAGTAGCGCAGCAAAGCGGTTTTGGGCAACCCAGATGACAAAGCTTCAATCCTTAAAGACATCGAAACAGTTATTTGCCGTCGCTGAATTGACTTAAATTATTTTAAAGTTCGTTTTGTGTTTTTTAAGCCTTTAACTCACTGCCGCCAGTCACTATATAAAGAGAGATTGAAGGTACATATTCAAAACATCAAGTCCTCTGTGAATCTGGTTTAAAGTACAATATCACCACCAAACAGCTTAGTTTCTGCTACAAACGTCAATTTTGGGATCTAACTTTTGATAGACAGCCCAATTGCAATGATTAGGACATCAGATACCGTACTCAATTGCGTTTCTTGCGATTTGAATACTTCGCGAGCTGGGCAAACAATTGCTGAAATACGCTGTTAACTAGATTATTGTCTCTCTCTCTCTCTTTAACATACCGTAAATTGAGGCCTGTTTGTCCTTGCTTGCACTCTTGACAGATATTTACTCCCACAGAAAGTTCAGAAAAGAAGATACTTTGCTAGACACTGGAGGGGGGTACTCGCATACATGGTGCGGTCAGCATTAGATGCCATCCACCAAAACCACCTCGGTCGAGAGGGACTGAGGTGGAATACTTAACAACTTGCAAATCATAACCGAAGATTCTCGGAAATCCGCGCGGAGACATAACCGAACACCCGAAGAACAAACAGAAACAATATGGCGGGAATTTTAAAGCGTGAACAATTTGCCTGATGGTAGAGATGAGGATAATTTTGGACACATAACTTCTGCTGATGAGACGTATAAACTCATTGCGGAATTCGAAACAGGATCGACGACGAAGTTTTCTTGCTTTAAGGCTGACAAAGGTTTCGGAAACACTGGTATGCCCATATATATTTGAAAGCGTTACGTCGTGCTAGCTTGTATCACTCTCGTCCTTGCTGTACTGATCCTATCTTCCATCACAATTTAACAACAGATCACTCGAACAGAAGTCACAAAATACTCTGGGAAGATCCACGAGACATTAAAGGTACAAAAAATTCCTTTTAATGGTGTGCCTTTCATAATTTTGGGAAGGAAAGTGTTCGATTGTCAGCACGGCAAAGATAGAAAAGCTGGAGAGAAAAGGAAACGAAAAGACGCAGAAGAAGTAAATGAAATATTGCACAGTACATACACATATATTTCTCATCCGCGACATTGGTGTTACTACTGTAGCCTATGGCTTGTGAACCCGAAAGGTCAGATACACATCGATCACTGGGTCATATGACATTGATCTCAGAATACTTTTATGACAAACGCTATAACACTTCAATTTCGGCTAAATTGAAGATGGTTTAGAACTTACCAATTACAAAAACCTTTCACTGACGTATGCTGCTGACAAAAGAGAAAATAAACGCAATTCTACGCTTTTTTATTTCTATCAAGCTGTCGTATGTCGGCTCCTTATTTTTCAAGGCATCACGCAATGACACCTCTGTTTCTTCATATTCCAAAAAATATACAACTTGAGAAATGCACTATCACTCATCTTACGCTGATATACTTGTCTTTTACAGAAGGCTGGTCACAAAAATTTCGTGTTCAAGAAAAGATTTCTCGTTCAAGACACGCGGAAGTTTGACTGCAAAGTACAGATAAAAATGCGAGAAATTTTATTTTTTGCAGCGCACAAGGTAGATCCACTCATGTATTGACAGAACGAATTCGGCTTAATAAATCCGACAAGCGTTATCACTGTCCAAAACTCATGCTACATAATCACCTGCTTATTGACTGGAACGAAACTGGGTGGTCTCGATTTTGATTATTCAAGACACTTCGAGCTTCCTAATGTTTTTTTCTCTGTGTCTGGGACGTTAGTGTGGTCAAACAAAGCTAACACACTGCCAGCACCAAGTTGTCTTTTCATCTACATAAACGCCGTGAATCAATTTTAAAACCTGACAGAAAAGTTGAGTTGAAGCAGCGGGAAAAGCTTATTTGTGCACTGCATCAGAGGCATTCAGTTTACTGTTACAAGGCATCCATTTTTTTCCTTCAAATGTATGATTTTTAGTCTTTCAGATTCAAGAAGACAGCAAAAAGAGATGGGAGACTGTCTGACGGAAACAAGGTTATGTTGCGTGACAATAGGGCGTGGTGATTTTGACATATAAGAATAGGACAAAGTAAAATTACAAATGTGAGCAGAATCTGTGTGATTACGGCTGTGGGTGCGGTTACTGGTGTGAGTGGAAATAAATGCTTTAAAACAAAATTGGTGAATTTTGGAGATCACTAGAGAAAAGGGGACATTCTCCAAACGTGGCACCTCCGACGGGACCGATATCTACATTGTTGTGAGTATATAATTTAGTCCTGAATTTATTTACCTACGCCATCGATGGAAATGGAGAACGCAAAAGGAAAGCTAAAAACGAAGCTTATGCAATTAGAAATTCACGCAAAGAGAACAGAACAAGTGCTCAATTCAGGATCCGTAGAAGCTATTGAGAGACATACGGGAGCATTAAAGTCTACGATATCCGAAGCAGACGAGTTAAAGCGTGCATTAGAAGCCTTAAAGATTGAAGCAGACGAAGACTTCAATGACATAAGCACGTGGAACAGTGCGATCGACATTCAGTTGATGAATGCTGACGAAGAGGTTAAGAAGCTTCGCAAGTGGCTCGAAGACAGAAGACGCCAAGAAGAGACGACCGCGCGTGAAGAACAACTTAAATTCGAGATGAAATTGCATGAACAAAAGATGAAACTTCAGACCGATCTCACTATGCAAAAGAGCCAGGAAAACGGGTCACCTAAGCAATCACAAGCGAAGCTACCAAAAATCGAGATTAAGAAGTTCGAAGGCTCTTACTTAGATTGGCCTAGGTTTTGGGGTCAGTTCACGGAGACAATCGACAAGGCCGATATAGCACCCATCAACAAATTCACTTATTTATGTGGGCTACTGGGTCCAAAGGTTAAAGTCGCTGTGGAAGCTTTACCATTTACAGCTGAGGGCTACAATAGAGCCATGTCAATATTACTAAGCGACAATGGCAAGGAATCCGAAATAACGAAGGCCTACGTCAAGGAAATAATGGCTCTCCCTGTCCTCACAAGCGCCAACCCTAAGAGAATAAGTGAGTTTAGCGAGACATTGACGTACTGTGTCCAAGCGTTGGAAACAATGAATAAACTCAGCGAAGTCAATGGAAATGTACCCATGACACTGGATAAACTGCCAGCCATTAGGGGAGACCTAGTGCGAATGGATCCGGAATGGGAGAAGTGGAATTTCGCCCAGTTGGCAGAGGCAGTGAGACTTTGGACAAAAAGAAACCCTGTTGAAGAACGAGAAAAGCCAGAGCAGCTTATTTCGAAACGTGACCGGTCAAACAAGCTCTTCCAAGCACGAGGTGGTGATGACAAGCCAAACAAATGCGTCTATTGTAGTGATGTAACGCACAGATCGTCTGAATGCCAGAAGATTTCAACTGTGTATGAACGAAAACAGTTTCTAGCAAAAAGGAAACTATGTTTTAATTGTGCAACACCGNTGTAAAGAGTGAATGAATCAAGCATCAGGCGAAAAACAAGCAATTGTGAATGAAGCAGTACGTTATTATTAAGTGTTGCAGTCATACAGGAAAAAGAACTCATGAACTATATGTGTTCATCTGAAACTGGGTGTGTTGGAAACTAGGCTAAAGCCTGAAACTAAGCCCGCATTGGAACTGACTTACACACAAGAATTTAAAACTGAACTAGGAGTACACTGCATACAAAACTAAGCTCACATTCTAACTGAGCAATATTCACATTTAAAACTGAACTAGGCATGGACTGATGAAGCTCATATGATATTAAAACTGGGTTATGCACACAAAAAACTAAGTTTGCATTGTAATTGAGTTGTAAGCTCATTTAAAACTTAACTTAATACACCCTAGAAACAAAATAAACTCACATTGTAATATATGATTTATGCAAGCAGTTAAAACTGAACTTGGTTGACACAGTAAACAAAACTAAGCCCACGTTGTAGCTAAGTTTTACACGCATTTAAAATTCAAATCAAGGGTATATTAGAAACAACACTAAGTTTACATTATAACAGAGTAATGCCTACCTTTGAAACTGAACAAGGCGTATACCAGAATGACTTAGATCCCGACGTATCTTAGTAATGTGTGCAATTAACACTGAACTTAGCGCACATTGGAAGTAAAACTAAGCTTGCATTGTTAGAGAGTTATGTGTGTATTTTAAACTGGACTAGGCGCATACTGGATACAAAAACTAGCTCACACTGTAACAGAGTTATGCACGCATTAAAAACTGATCACAATAGAGAGAAAAGTAAACTTATATTGTAACAAAGCTATGCGTACCGCTTAAAACTCAACTAAACTAAGCATAAACTAGACAGAATACCAAGCTCACATTGTAAGTGAGGTACGAGTCCATCTAAAGCTATATCACACATAGACTGGAAATAGGCTAAAGTCACAATGTGAGTTATTTTCGCGCATATAGAACAGAACAAGGCTTTTACAGAAATGCAACTAAACTTGTATGAATAGAGTCGTACGGGCATTTAAAACTGAACTAAGTTTAAACATGAATCAAAACTAAGATTACATTGTAACAAAGCTTTGCGCGATTTAAAACTAAAAAAGTTAATATAAGTTAACGTTAGGCCTACACTAGAAAAAAGAATAAGGTTCACATTCCAACAGAGTTATAAATGCAGTAAAAGCAGAACAAGGGGAACACTGGAAAAATTTTTGTCCCTTTCAGATTTGAATAAGGATTGATTGCGGATGCATGTTATGCTATCTAAAGTAACACTTGAAGAAATTTTTCACACCACAATAAGCGCTCGTAATCGTTCAAACTACCTATGTAAAGTGCAGCGTTTATAAGATTAAGATGCTATCATGATTTAACTTACATAAACATAACAAAATCCTTTCCACAACACTTTTAATTGCCTAATATCTCAGCCATTTGGAAACGGAACTATTTCTTACAAAAATGCGCGTGTACGCTTTTTTTGTCGGTAAAGCGTGTTATATTTTAAATTAAAAAATACAGAGGGATAGATCATTCTTAAGCAATACCCAAATAGTTCCTTAAAACTTAATCTTTTACCAAAGAAAATGTTTCTCTAGAGTAAAAGAAGTAGAAATGGGTATTTGCTACATAAAGTGGGTACTTGCTACGTTAAATGGTTATTTGCTACGGAGTGGTTTTTGTGAAATAAAGTCTTTTAATTGGGACATATAATTAAAAAAACAGGTTTAACATGTTTTCTTTCACAAGCGCAGAACTTTCCTACAAAAAAAACCAATTTAAAGTAAAAAATAATGATTTTATAAAGAAAAAAGATAATTGACCTTCTCAAAAAATTCTGACTTGTTATGTCGAGTTCATACTATATGTGGGAACGCAGTTTTCTTCTAAAATTAAGATGGTGTAGAAAGTAAAATATTCCAGATCCCAGAGGGGTTTTACGGTAATAAAAAAAAACCTGAAGACCTTTAAAGTCCGTCAAAATTTTTTATTTTCGTGATTTTTTCGATGTGTGTACCAAAGATTGAGTATTTGCTACACTGGTCGTGTTTAGATTGATATACTGACTAAAGATTCCATGTTGGTCGGTAACTTTAAATAGAAGTACTATAAGTGAAAAATAGACTGATATATTCCACTGTAAAAAGAGGGAACATATTGGAAAATTCTATATCAAAAAAAGAAGAGGAGAAAAGGTAGCAGATACTCAGCCATGAATCTGGAGAAAGATAGAGAGAGAGAGATAGAGAGAGAGAGAGAGAGAGAGAGAGAGAGAGAGAGAGAGAGAGAGAGTTGAAACAGTTTCCAGGCACATTTGGTAGTCTCTCATCTGTCATTGAATTGAAAACAATTTTGTCTTTAAGATTGCAATAGAGTTGCCCAAACCTTCTCAAAACCGTTATATGGCACTGGATGACAGAACCCGTTCACAAGCGATGGCAAATACCATACAGAATAACAGTCCACACAGCACTGAACAAATTAGCAAGTACACTTCTCTCAATCCATACACACGCTCCTGGGAGATTCCTAGAGAGCATGTGACGATAAAGCAGATCGTTGGAAAAGGTGGTTTTGGTCAGATTGCTAAGGCAACAGCTGTCTGCCTACAAGGAAGACCCAAGAAGGCTCTCGTAGCTGTTAGAATGTTAAAGGTAGAAGTCTGTGGAAATGCTTCTTTTTTGTCCTTGACTATTTTACCTTTTTTAAGCGTATGTTTCTGCATAATTTACAAGTTGATCTTAAAAAAAAATGACAATCTATATGGCTAGTTCACGGTTTCGTCCAGACCTTGAAGCAGTCATCATTAACTCTATTCGATGTAGCGGTTGAATTAAAAAACGTGGTGAGAGTTTTCTCTCAAAAATTATGGTTACCTGTTAGAGCTTCGTTACCTCACGTTAACGAAGATAAGTACTACACATATATGTATGGTATACGTGCATATATGGCTATACATAGAAGGCCGAAACAGTACTGTCTGCAGTTACTGTCTGTCTACATATATATCTATCTGTCCATTAATTACTTACCTACCTTCCTCCCTCTCTGTCATCTCTATCTATCATTCTATTTATCTATATATCTAATTGTATGCGTTATTCGTTTAAATGGTATTATATCATGATATGTATCTATTTTTTTGTAACATTTTATTGGATGATGATTGGTTGGAAATCATGTTGCAGAAAACGCTTCTGAATCAGAGAAAAAGGATTTGCTGTCTGAACTGGAATTAATGAAACAACTTAAACCTCATCCTTACGTCATCAAACTTTTGGGATGCGTTACCAAGTCTGGTAAATACTGAAACGTATATTATCAGTTATGATCACGGTCAGAAAAAAATTCGCTAAAAGTCTAGATAGGTTTTATTTTCCTTGGCATTATAGTGTTTTAGCTTCAGTTATTTTCCTTGTTAATTATAGAGTACTGAACATTTTATTCGTCAGAGCCTCCATCAGATGAAGGCGGACTACGAGCAGTCCTTCCTCTTCAGAGATGTTCGTCAAAAACAAAATCAACGAAAAACCAAAAAACGTTAAGTGAGAGCGCCGCACAGACCTCTGGGATAGAGGCGCACTTTGAAATCCGGTGGTTGTCATGACCCAATCTTCGCCTCTTTATTTTTCCATTCCTGTTAACTTTTTGGAAAATTCGCCGACCAACGTATAAACCTTGGCCATATTCTGTTCTTGTGTGCGCGTCATAGGTCTGGATCTGGCAGCAGAGAAGTATTCAGAGTTCTAACCTGTCACTGCTAAGTAGTGACGTGTGTATAGCCAATAGCTGAGATCTAAGATCAGCAAAATTCAATGATGATTCAAAAATGGGCAGAAACTGAACTAAAACTGCATGTTTAAGGTTTGCACAAATATTGCAGATTCGAGGCGGTTAAATGTAAATACTATTTGAAGGAGGATAGGTTGTTGACCATTAAGCTGAAACATGACCTGCCTTTAACGAAAGTTTCATACAATGTTATACCTTCGTAATTTATTTTCCAAGTTTAAAAACTCGTGGCCGCTTTGTTTTTAAAATGGATTGATAAGAATTGTGATTGTTACCGAGGTGTACGGTTAAATAAACGTCGTACTCCTCCACTTTCAAGTACTTGCGGCGTGTATTGGAGAGCGACGTTTATTGGTATTTTCGCTTCCCTCTGCAATGTGTAGTCGAGTTTTTGCGGTACCTTGTTTGTCTCCTTAGAGCCACTGCTGGTCTTGATCGAACATGTTCCCTATGGAGGTCTGCTGGGTTACCTGAGGAAGAGCCATGGATTAAATAACACTTACTTCAAAGACCCGAATATCAAGCCGCAAACAAATCTGACGTCACAGCAAGCGATGAAGTTTGCTTGGCAAATCGCTGATGGAATGTCCTATTTGTCATCGATAGCAGTGAGTAATACAATCATCCTCTGAGAGCTCGTCAACCTCGTTAAAGAATAAGGCACCAGTTATTACGAATATTCTTCACTTTTTATTGACTTCTCGACCCTGAAGTCCTTCGATTCGTGAGAGATCGTTATGAATGAATATACATCCCATTTTATTGACTCCTCGACCCTCAAGATCGTTTGTCGTAAGGAGCGTTTTATTTTTTGTTAATGTCATACATCGAGACCTTGCAGCTCGTAATGTGTTGGTTGGAGAAGAGGAAACATGCAATGTAACAGACTTTGGTATGGCCAGACATGTGAAAGAGGACGACATTTATGAAATAAAATCCAGGGTACGAATAGTTTTAAGACTCGATGTTCTTGTAAGCTTTGGTCCATATGACAGAGATGATGCCTCACTGGAGTGACCCCTTAAAGCAAACAGGCCCAGTAAATCCTGTTCAGATTTCAAGAACATTTGTTACATTGTTCTCGCCATTTTAAGCATTGGTGCTTTTAAAGATGAATAAAGGCTGATAGTTTCGAAAGAAACTGTTTGGCGCTGCGTCGGTGGGAGTAACGAAATAATTTGGATATATCAACAAAGTTGAAGTGGTAAATTGGCCACCGTAACGATTACAAAAACTGACGTTTCGAGCGTTAGCCCTTCGTCGGTGCTTTTAAAGGGCTACGCCAGCTACTAATGTTTTTGTTTTCCATTCAGGGGCGTCTCCCAGTAAAGTGGACTGCCATTCCCGAACAGGAATGAATGGAGTAATAGCTATTTGAGACCTATGAGGTCATCTTCTATTTTTCTTATACATGTATATTTGTAGTTAACCAAAAATAGAAAAATAAACCGAAACAAACAAAAAAGCTGTTAAATAGCGAAGCGAGACAAAGTGCAGTTTTCTTATATATTTATTTTGTTCAGATAAACAGTCGACCCTGTATTAAGCGGCACCGTATTTAGCGGTCACCTGTTTTAATGTTACTTCCCACCTTCCCAGCAGACAACAATGCAGCAAGAAATGTTAAGGATGATTAAGCAACAGCAAGAAGATCAGCGGAAGTAGCAACAAAGAAATGAAACCCAACAGCTGCAATTTATGCAGTCAAAGTTAAACCAGCAGCAACAGAAATCACAGGTTCTTCTATGCCTTATTCCTTGGCTCCCAAGGAAAATCACTGACAGTTGCTCAGTGTTAGCACTTATTGGTACCGTTACAAAATTCATTATTGTGTTTTTTATTCCATTTCTCATGTGCAAGCTGTTGTTAAAAAGTGTTGAGTTAATGTCATGTAAGAATTCATAGACATTGTCATGGTTCCAGAAGCCACCTCAACAGATACATGTAAGCAGCAGGCAACAGAACAACAGTGTATGGGAATCTGACATGACAAAAATTATCATTAACTGATACTGTTGTATTCTGTCCGTAACTACGTCTCTTTAATCACATATAAGATAACTAACAACAAACGAATTCAATCGACATCCCTCGCTCGTCGCTCCACGTGCCATTACCTCCTCAGGTCATGTGACCGACACAACAGATACTGTCACTGAATGTGATGGGCTTAACAAGTTTGTGGAAAAAATTTAAACAGTGTGCAGTATGTTTCCTAGTATCTTGACGTCAACCAGTAATCATCAGAATCCAATGATCTTTGTAAGAAAATTCTTTGTGATTGGATTTCCACACAGAGAGTTGTTTTCACACAAGTTGCCTACCTGTCAAGATGGCTCCAAAACCATGATAAGGTGTATTTTTTCCAGTCTGAAGTCTTCAGGCTTAAGTATAGGTCAATCCAGTACCCAGCCTCACACTTACGCCTTGGGATGTAACTAATCCAATTCCAATTATGAAGGCAAATATTTAAAATAACTGCCAACTTTGTAGTTGCAAAATTGAAACAAGATAATTTATGTTGTATTGTCATTGGACAGTCTTACTGGATAGTAAGCTGCAACTTTTTCCTTTCTCTTCCTCTCCTTTGTTAATTTTCAAGCCACCATAAAAAGACACTTTCACGCAGAAAGAGCTGCATGGGTGTCCAATTATCTTACTGAGGTCAGCATGTGTGCACATATTTTTAGGTTGAGTTTGGTCTTATAATTAACCTTTGCAAAGAGGGGTGCAACACTGTATAATAATTCATTTTAAATGGACACAGAAATGGGAAAGTGAATATTAATTGCAATACTTCACTTCTTGTTAAATGTAACACTTGAGATTGTGTATCTTTGACGGTACACCCCATATATTAAATAAAAATATTGCTCTATGTACTTTATCCATGGATTCAATCAAATCCATAAAAGTAAAAAGCATATTAGACAACAGAAGAAAACAATTGTTAAAGCCGCAGTTTCTGTGATTTACTTGACTTGTTGCCAACGAATTCTTCTTAATTTTAACATTTCATGCTTTCTCTTAGTCAAGATTCAGTGGACAAACACAAGCTCTTACTGAAAATAATTTTTTCATGTCAACTCCACTATGGTGGTCTACAAACTCCTATAAGGAAAGTGACTACAGTTTTTCCCAACATCAGTTAGTTTTACTATTGATACTATAGTAATCATATATTTTCTTTTCATATTTGTTGTCATCTGGATTTTTTTAATTCATCTAAAGTAATCCTGGAGGCTTGGAGGGTCAAGTTAAAAAAATCCGAGGTCTGATTACCATGGAGACCTGTTAGAGCATTTCGTAGGAGTGCACATACAACATATGTTTTACCAATACTACTTAGGCCAATTTTTAGATTCTTTTTAAAATCAAGGAATTTGAAATAGTTTAAAACATCACCAAACAGCCATTCCATTGACACGCGGACAAAGCTCATAGAAAAATTGAACATCTCCATCTAGGGAGTGATAGCTGCTCCTTGGAATGGTCCTTGGAGGTTCTCTCGAAGAGGGTAAGCAAGATCTCCACATAGGAGATCTACACATGGGTTGGCCAGTGGTGGAAAATGCATTATGCTCCAAGTCTCGTAGGAGTCCAGATTCTGCCAGCATTCCACCATCATGTCTCTTACCCTCTAAAAAGATACCAGAGCATTAATGTAAGTTCAGAGATAACTACAAGCTCAGACATTCTTGCTTTTCGTCACGCAGGGATTAAAAAAAGATTGCGTGACAAGCCAAAACTTTGAAAGTTGATGGCCCAGCCTTCAATTCATAAATGCAATTTTTTTTCTGTCTAAATGTTACTTGCAATACTTTCTCTATATCAGAAAATTAAGGAAATGCTGCCATTTGAAAACCATGTTTATAACTATATTTGCCCTCTGGCTTTGCTTTTCGGATTACATGATATGTGTATTGATAAACAACATAGTTACCTACGGGGCCGTAAAGATTTGCGATCAACCCATTCGGCAAGAGGAGAGACTGAAATCTTATGGCGTGAACGCGTTTATGTCCATTGGACATCACTCTCTGATGCTGATCAGGTCTGGCAATGGGGCGCACAGTCCCATCAACAAAACCAAAACAATTCTGAAGTGCAGCCCCTTTGTCGTGAACTAATCGAGCATAAATTTCCAGTGCAGGTGGGTTTAGCAGTGCATTGTTCCATCGAGTTAGGCGATGTCCGTGGGTATTGTAAAGAAAATCAATAGGGAGCTTAAGCACCAGGCGTTTATGATTCATGGAGGCGAACCGGAAGTGAGATTTCGTATATTTTTCCTTCTGGGCATGTCAAAAGGTCGTCGTGATCTGTCACGGCGGCCGCCAAGGCGCTTGTGGCCTCCGTGCTGATTTTCCACGACCGCGAATGGTCTAGATTGTACGTAGCAAAAAAGCACAATGTTTTCAACACCAAAAAGAGCTTCTGAAAATGGATTCGCACGAGGAAAGGAAAGAGAAGTCTTCGCCGTACATTTTCATTTGTTTGTTTGTTCAAATTCATTTGGGAGTTTGTCTGCCGAGAGTTGTCTTAAATTCGACGCGACCTGTTTACTTGAATGCTCGCCTTTCTAGCTTTCTGCACACTCGTCTTTTATTTACAAAGTCTTTTTAAATAAAAATTTAACTGACAATTTCAGTTTTTTGTTAAAAAAAACGCATTCATATAAACTTTCACCAATAGTTTTCTTGACAAGCTCTGTAGATGTGACTTGTTTACTTTGCTAAGTGTATGGTTAACAATATAGAAACTGAAGTATAGGTACATTCTGGCTCGGAGATTTCATCTGAGTCAAATCGCTGGTACAAGCCATAGCTGAATTCGAGGTTTCTTGACGTGTTTTCTTCGAGCAACAGAAGTAGTACTTCGTCACTGATGACGTTCATGTCATGGCTTAATAAAAGCATTTCCCCAGCTTCTTTAAATGAACACATTTTCATTGTTTCAAGTGCGGACGCACAACATAAAGCAATTTTTGTTTCTTTGTTTACATCACGGGCTTGCAATTTTTATTTTCGCGCGCTTTCTACGCTCGTATCCGTCTTTAAAATAAGGAGTCTGCTTACAGTGAAAAATTCGCGCCAAGAACGCCAATCTTGATCTAGTCCCCTCACGACAATAAGCCCTCCGTCGTGAAGAAAAGTCCTGCTGCTTACGCTCCCTAATGACATGATTTATGGCCATGCTTAGAACGGGTACTGGACTGCCAAAACGAGGCACCATATCGCCAAATTTGCATGGGTAAGCAAGCCGTCGTAAAAGCATGCAGAGGCCTTCCATTCCGTCTACTATGCTTCCTTGGCTTAGTTTGAAGGATGGTGGAATCTGCAAGGCTTCGGCAAGAACTGGAAGATCCTTCTTGTCAAACCTGAATTCTGCTTTGCACTCAGCTTCACTCATGTTACCCAAGTCAAAGCGACTATACTCGTCATATGGAAAACTGGGGTTTTTAGACGGAAGCATTTATACAAAACCAAGAACTCTTCACCGCTAATAAGATTACCGTCACAGTAAAGGACGAGGAGATGGCGGAATTCTTCAAACGTAGCCATGCTACGACAAAAAAGCCTTAATTTAAACTCGACGAAGTCGCAGAAGTCGCAGTGGCTGGCCGTCATCAGAATCTTAACAATTTAAATTATGGCGCGAAAACGGCATCTTCTGACCCAGTCTACCTGGGTTGTCACGTCGCCGTCGCCCCGAAAACGTCTGTAGGGACTTTAAGTAGTCAGGACGGCAACGCCACGGAAGACGTCGATTAAAAAATGAGTTTCTACTTTTAGTTAGAATTTCGAAAATGGCTGCATGTGTTTACCGTCTCATAGGGCGCCAGACCTCAAACTCAAGACTGGGCTATTGTTCTGCCAATTAGATCTATTGTTTTTCCACGTTCTCGTTGCCGTAGCCGTCGTGGTTTGCTTAAAGTCCCTTGTATCTTAAGCTCCCTAGTGTCATGGTGTGACGGCCCTACAGAGAAACTATCATCATTTGTCGACAGACTCCTTCAG